ATATTTTTATGAAACTAATATTGTGAAAGTAATTTTCGGTAAAAATTACTTGGATGGATATGAATGCGAACAGAGAAATTGATGCGATGATGTATGAAGATAAGCCGAAGCTTATAGATTATAGTTTCCCTACTTCTAATATATCATATTTTTGAAACTGTCTCTTTATATACAAAACAGAATAAGGTTATATTTTCCCTATTTTTAATATATCATATTTCTAGACCTGTTTCCTATATACAAAAGAGTATTAAATTATAGTTTTCCTATTTCAAAAGTATCACATTTTTAAAAGATTTTCCCTATACACAAATTAGTATTAGATTATAGTTTCTCTATTTTTAATATATAATATTTCTAGAACATTTTCCTTATATACCAAGGAGTATTAGATTATAGTTTTTCTATTTCAAAAGTGTCTTATTTTAGAACTGTTTCCCTATATACAAAACAGAATAAGATGATATTTTCCCTATTTTTAATATATCATATTTCTAGAACTGTTTCCCTATATACCAAGGAGTATTAGATTTTAGTTTCTCTATTTCAAAAGTATCATATTTTAGAACTGTTTCACTAAATACAAAACAGAATAAGATTATAGTTTCCCTTTTTCTAATATTCCATATTTTAAAAAGAGTTTCCCTATATACAAGCAATATCAAATTAGATCTTCAATGGCTCTTTTCGTTTACTTTGTTGAGTTTTGCTCTTTTCAGAGTACACAAGCACAATGCCGTCACTTTGGCCATACCTACAAAAGGTGCGGTTTTCTCGTTTTCTGATACCAGTATTTTGTTATAATTTCTTCACTGCCAAAGAGCCTTGTTATTGTCTTTGCTTAAATTTCTTGTCTTTAGTATCATTACCCATAATTGGTCCATTTCATTTGATTTTTTAACTTAATGTAATTTTCACACTATATCCATTCCGTAAAAATAAAAGTTATGATATACTTAAAGAAAAACTACATTGCAATAAAAATTTGCTAAATTAACTCAGATATTAAATATTTGAATCCCAAACTTCCATGGATTCGTGTCGAGCTGTCTTCTGTTATCTCAAAAGGTGAAATATCATATGATATGAGAAGTCATGGGCTAGTAGTCATGGATCAGGTTTCTATGGTAATGCACATGTAACTGGCCTTTCATAAGAATTATTCTTTCAGATACACACATTTTTGAAAATAACTGTTTACCAATCTGTCATAAAGTACTCGACGCTTTATACGTAGTGCTGAACCACAGTTGTCTAATGTTGTAAACTGCTGCATTAAACGCGAAAGAGGGTGTAGTCCACAATTTGTAATTCTGACTACTTTGGTATATCGAACGCACCACACCTAAATCCCCAGCAGATAACACAGCAAGAAACAACACAGGTTCTGAGGTGATGTGTTAAACGTGGTTCGCTAAAGAAAAATGTTAGCAATTAACATACATGAAGATTATAAGTTGAGAATACGACAAGAAGCTTAATATTACAATATAATGAAAAAGAATAATTATAAAAGGTTAATTAATGTTAGCAGAAGATAGAACTACGTAGAAACCCAACTAGACTACAAAATGTTAAGTATGAGCTACTTATAAATAAAGTGAAAGATAACTACATAATAATACATACAACTTACAATCTATTAGTCCTCGTAGCCATAAAAATTTTGCACGACGGCCAAACACAGCATGTAGAAACTACCAGGCCAAAAACTGCATGTAAACGATAGAAAACTGCCCCAACACAGCGCAATGCAAGGCGAGTCAATAACCACCCAAAACGTGGGGTGCAAATCCTTTATAGCTATCGGAAGTAAACGAGGAAAAACAAGAACACGCAAAAATGGAAATACCAAATATGGGCTAATGAAACGTATACTAAGAGGCGTAAAGAAAACAATGCAATGTGAAAACGAGGCTAGATAAAAATAGCTGAAACCACAACGAAAACACATTAAATATTTCTTGGTTCTTGTGGAGCATCAATACCAGAGCCACTGATAGATTTTGGGTGCCCCAAGAAAAAAACCGAAAGACAAGGTTCCCTACGAGCGTAGCGAGCAGGCAGTTTAGTGAATAAGCTTTCATTACGGCTAGATTAGATCAGATTAGTATGCATAGGCTCTTTTCCTTTGGTTAATCATCGTATGGACGACCATTTTTCCTAATATCGCTGTGATTTCTTGTAGACGCCAAACTGCCTATCGGCTCTTTCTCTCTTTTATATATTTGCAATTACAGTTTTGGTTCTATTTTTAGCTCTTATTGGTGTTTCTTTATTTGGAAATATCAAAAGAAAAATCTTTCTCTCTATACTAATGACGCCGATTTGCGTCATAAAAATGCTGCAATCCGTTGTGTTAAGGGAAATCGATCATCACAGAAAAAGTGCCATGAAAACAATTCACGCTTTCAACGCATTCATATCTACCAAATTCCTCTACACAACTACTTCAATAACACTATATTTTGTAACTAAGTAATGAAATATAACAGAATGAAACTATTGACAACGTCTACTACTGTTAAAAACAACGGCTAAAACCCCTCTACCCCCAAACTGAAGAAAGAAACTAAAAAATCGCTGATATGTTTCTTTTGATCACTGTACCTTTTGATATTCCAGATAGGTTTCAGACAATCACTGCCAAAACACTTGGAACACTTGTGATATTTTCAACGTTTTCATGCATCCGTCCCCCCCCCCTCTAATTTAACAGGATAATTCTTATATTGTATAACCTCGTATTCATTTGTACCTCATTTAGTTCTATGTCAATCATGTTATTAACCTATTGTACGCCGTTAGTATATATATCATTAGATTTTGTAAATAGGGATTGGGATATGCACGATAACAAGAATGTAAGCACAGAACATAATCTCATTTCTTCGATTCTCTCATGAAATCCTCTCGCATAAGTCTGCGCAGTACAGCGTAAGACCTTGACACAAACAATGTTGTCTCACAGCTAAGTTAAGACATACTTTTGTGGCAAACCTTTTTCTACCGATCGCTGTGATAAACTGCATTGTAAGCAACATTGTAAGCAAATAAGCGTTCGCAACGCTTGAACGTAATCAAAGATGAAGACGACCATGTACTCACGGAATCTAAAGATATACAGGATTGGTGGAAAAGATACTGCGAAAACTTGTACGCAAAGGATGATAGAATACAACACGAACACACGGTTTTTCGAGATTACCAAGACGAGCCAGATATCAAAGCAGCTGTAAAGAAACTGAAAAGCGGAAAGTCACCGGGAGACGACAAAATAGCAGCAGAGCTCATAAAAGCGATGGACGACACTGGATTAGCCAAGCTGTGTAGTTTATGCAACTCGATATGGAAACACAAACATTGGCCCAATGATTGGTTGAAATCTGTGTTCATAACTATTCCGAAAAAGGGTGACGCAACACTATGCAAGAACAACCGCACCATCGCTCTGATCTCACATACCAGTAAGATTTTGCTGTATGTGATTGTAGAACGCATGCGTAAGCGCCTTGATGAAGAACTACCAGCCACACAGGCGGGGTTTCGTACAGGCAGAGGAACTAGAGATCAAATATCCAATATCCGACGAATCATGGAAAAATTGAAGGAACGCAAAAGGCAACTTATCCTTTGCTTTATTGACTACGCAAAGGCCTTCGACTGCGTCGACCACAGCCTCTTGTTAAGTATAATGAGAGATATGGGCTTTCCAGAACACATAATCCATCTCCTACATGAAATCTACCGGAACCAGTGTGCAGTTGTCAGAACAGAAAGTGGTGAAAGCGACGAATTTGGCATTGGAAAGGGAGTAAGACAGGGGTGCATTCTCTCCCCTCACCTTTTCAACTTATATGGTGAACACATCATGAGGAAGGCGTTATCGAACATGGAAATGGGTGTATCTATTGGTGGGCGGTTGATAAACGAGCTTAGATACGCTGACGACACGTCCCTCATCGCCGAAACCATCCAAGATATGAACACATTGCTTCAAAAGCTCAAAGTAGAAAGTGAGAAATGCGGTTTATATCTCAATGTCGACAAAACTAAAATCATGAAAACCACCGCAGACGACAACCATATATTTGTCGACGGCAAAGAAGTGGAGGAAGTGAACAACTTTGACTTTCTCGGTTCGATGATTAGACCTGATGGAGACTGTGAAAAGAAGATTGATGGACGGTTAGCGATGGGCAGGTCTGCTGTTGGAAAGCTACAGAAGATATGGAAGAACCATGACATCCGGTTAAACACGAAAACCCGACTGATGCGGTCTTTGGTATTTTCCATCGTCCTCTATGGTGCGGAGGCATGGACTTTAAAGACACGCTCCCGAAAAAGAATTGACGCGTTTGAAATGTGGTCGTGGCGTCGTATGCTGAGCATCCACTGGTCCGAAAGGCAAACCAATGCAAGCGTGCTTGACAGAGTATACCGTCCAAACAGTCTACTCAATCTCATTCATAGAGCACAACTCACATACTTCGGACACGCCGCACGAAAACCAGATGACAGCATAGAAAAGATTGCTATATTGGGTATGGTTGAGGGCAGTAGAGGGAGGGGCAGACCCCCGACGCGGTGGACTGATAACATCAAATCGCTCACTGGCATGCAACTCTACGAAGCGCTACCCATGGCCCAGAACAGAGTGGATTGGAGAGAAATGGTCATGGCAGTCACAAGCAACCGCAACGGCTGAATGAACGACGACGACGAAGCAGCATTGTTTTAGGGGGGGGAGGATTGTTTTAAGCAACATTTCATGGGAAATATACGAAAAAAGCAAAAAATTAGCAAAATATGTAGGTGTTCCAAGGTGTTTTGGCAGAGATTGTAACTATAGGACCCGAAATAGAAGAAAGTGTTGTCACCTGCGGCATTTCATTGGCAAATTTGCTCGATAATTATTACTTAAGTATAAAACCAGAGTAGAAATCAAAACCCTAAAAGATTTTTTATTCGAAAGAATTTGTCTTTCCTGTCTTTCCGTTAATGTTTGATTTAATTTTGTGCTTTTTGCATTTGCCACTGAATGTGTCGACAAACAAGGTCCAATGTGGTGAATTTTTCTGAAATTCATTTATTAAGGGCCCTTGTTTTTTTAAAACAAAATAATTTGCATTTTAGAGAAGGGGCTGATTCAAGGGTGGGGCCTATTAAAGTTTTTCACCTTAAGAATGGACTTTTTTGGGGTTTGGACGTAATATAGTAGGGCAAATTCGAGTATATATAGTATGTTTTTGCATTCTTTGTGTTCTGTTGATTTATTTTCAAAATGTTTTAGGTGGATCAGTCAGTAAGCACAAGATTTCTCGGCTTAATAATTGCTGGCTTTCAGGCTGGACAGGTGACTGGTTTAGTTATCTTTAGTGCTTGGTCCAATGCCCGTGGTGCCATTCAACCTCTACTGGCAAGCCTCCTACTTAGGTTCTTTGGGGACTGTTTGTATGCTTTTGCCGAAGGGTTTCCTAAAAACAGTGGACTTGTGATGATTCTGATTGCAAGAGTTATTTGTGGAATATCAAGAGGTTTGTTGAACTTTTCTTTGCTTATAAATTTGTATAACCGAAGTTTCCTGTTGTGTGTGATAGTTCATTTGGAAAGAATATGCAGTTGTTTTGCTATTTTCCTTGATAGAGGGTACGCCTTGAATACCTTATAAAAAAATTTTAACAGTTTTTAAAAAGTGCACTGATAGATTGATACAGTGCAAGATAAGACTTTTATAGCGTGTAAAGGACGACTGATTTGCTTGCATTGCATTTCAACAATTCAATGCATCTTCTGACAAGTAATTCTTTTTGGAATAAAGTCTTTTCTATAATTACATTAATGTCGCTGAGAAGATTTTAAATAGCTTGTCTATAGAATAGAGAGTGTTTTATAAAATTGACGTATTATTTATGACTAGGAGATGTTGCTGTATGCCGTGCTGTTGTGGCACAATCAACAACAACGGAAGAAAAGAGGAGAGGTTTCGCCACACTTTTTACAATTTATGCCCTTGGTTTTGCCGTTGGCCCAGGTGATTCCCCTGAAATTTTTGCATATTTTCATAGATATTTTATAAGAACTCTGTTGGTTATAAGCATGATTAATAAATGATTATGTCAAGCCCGTGGCGAAGATAGAGAGGGGTCAGGGGGGCTAAAAAGTCCCTGTAAAGCTAAACAGCTATTTTGTGGGTAAAGATTCTCATCTTGTAGAAATTGTAACATGGTTTTCTTTTTACTCAAGTGTAGAGAGAGACTTTTTACACAATTTGAGAGAACAGTCTTTAAAAGGATATTATAACTATTTCTTCAGTTGTTCTGAATCAGATGGGCAACTTAAAATGCCATTTGCGAAGAGCAGACCATAAAATCTTCAATTAGTATGATTTATGAAAAATGACTTTTAGTAAATAATTAGACTTGTGTCACATTCTGTGTCACAACTGTTATGTTTTATGTTATGTTATGAGGTGTTATGTTTCAAATCTGTGTCACAACTTCTATTAATCTGTGTCAAACGCTCACCAATATGGTACACGACAAGCCATAAAAGTTACTATTTTAAAAAAGGAAAATATTCTTGCATTGTTGTATCAGATCTGTGCGTTTCTTTGGTGTTAAATTTTTTGAATGATGTTCAAGTAGATATAAAAAGATCATTGTCTGTTTTCGTTTTTTGTCAAAGGCTTAAAACATTTTCATTCAACCATACCAGAACTATCAAATTGGATTCTGAAGCCCAATTCATTGTTCTGTTACTGGTGTAATCAAACAATTACATATTAAACCACTTCAAAAAGGGAGAGCCCTTTTTTGATTAGCTCATCTACCGAGAGAGCTCCTCATAAAGGAACTCCCCTGCTAACAACATCTTACGTAATTGTTATTTATTCCTGTTATTTTAAGTATTTTATGCAATGTGTGAACATACTATGTAATTGATCGAAATGTATTTGTAGTAAGATATTGTATGAAGAGAAATTTTAAAATGTAAAAACTGAACTGGACTGAACTATGTTCAAATGTATGAAAGAATTACAAATGTTTGTTAGATTTTTGTCTAAAAATCTCAGTTTTTCGCCCCTTTTATGAAATTTCCTATCTACCTCACTGCGTCAAGTTCAGTTCAGATATAATCCAGTTCATATAATTTAAACTGTCCACATACCATTTAAAATTCTACAGTACATTCGAAGAACTAAACTACCTAGATTGAATACATAATTTTACAAAACAAAATAAAAAATTAATACAATGTTACAGAAAACTAAATACAATGGTCATACAAAGAGGAGCTAAATAATAAATTGCATGCGGGGAATTACTTAAAGGAGGAGCCCTTTACCTAGGTAAACTAATCGAGGAGAGAGCCCCCCCTGTTGTAATATGTAGCCATAAGGCCTTTACTACATAAAGTAAAATTTCAATTCTTCAGTATGTGATGTGATTCGATGTTGCTACGCAACAGGATAGCAACAAAAGTCCTTATCTTCCCCTTTCCTAGTGAGTGTGTTTCTGCAATACACAACAGCAGAATACATATCTGGTCGGTCAACCAATATTGAGACATCTGGTAGGTCTCTATAGCGCAAATGGAAAGGAGTCGAATCGCACAAAAAAGATCATAGATTTAAACATAATTAAGAAGGGAAACAAAAACTATTTTAGCAACTTTGACTGTTTTACAAACAAAGAAGATGTAGCTTAATCCCTTGGTTTGATGCACAGACTGATTTAGGGGTAAGAAGGAGAGAATACATGCTTAATTAAACTGTATTACAATTTCACAAAAAATTTCATAACTCTGAAAGACTTTCGCATGCTGGTCGAGTCCGTCTACCGGACTTTGTGAATCTTGCGACAAAAATATATAATAAGCAAAAGACAGAAACAGTTTAAAATGAAGAGGAATTTGAAATTTAATATGCATAAATCCTATTTAGAAATCCGGAATTTAGAATATGTTTCAACGACCTCAAACAAGGGTATTTACGCCAGATAATGTAAAAATTCTTGATCTGCTTGTCTCCCCGCAAAACTGAAATCCCTTAGCTCAATCTTTTCATTCCTTTCTACCTTATTTGAAATTAATTACGTTCTGCTGCCGCTTTCATAGACCTTCAGCATGTACTTGTGTCAAATGCTATTTCCATTTATGGCCCATCTTATGCTTCTTATTTCTGCTACTAGAATCCACTTCTCTTTCAAATAATCATGCTTCTCTTTCTTTATTTGCTTTAACAAAGCATTTAAAAGCTTTGTTCTAACGCATGCTTATTTTTCACAGCAACATAAATACCCAGTAACTTTGTAGGCAATAGTTTTGCAGTTTAAAGGCAACTTTATCCCTTGGAACTGGAATCTAATTCTTATCTCTACTTTTAGGTTTACAAGCCTTGCTTGCAGTGGTTGTTGGCAATGGAATTCATACCTCGTTTGTAAACATTGACATGTTGAATGCTCCCGGCTGTGTTGGAATATTCATGCAAGCTGTTTGTGCTATTTCATTGTTGATATGGTTTAGAGAACCTAAAAAAGTTGGATATGACAATGTAGGAAGTTCAAGTAAGTGATTTGAGAAACAGGCTTATTATGCCTTGCTCTCTATCTCCGTGACTATGAAATGTTTGTAAACATGTTCAGGAATTGCATTCTCCAAATTTTACAACATAGCTGTTGTTCTGGATGTGTGAACATGGCGTCACAAAATTTCTCGTTACAAAATATAGTCATAATTTTATTGATCTTGTTGCTTTGTGAAACTGAAATGCTGGGAACTACAAGCTTTGTGAAACTACAAGAACCTTGAAGAGGAGATATCAATTGTTAGTAGGAAATAAAAAGGTGACTGCTGAAAGTAATGATTATGAAGAATCGAGCGTATTACGATTGAACACTGAAGGGCGTCCGCAACCACCTCCAAAATTTAAGGAAGTAATTGACTAGAAAGATTTTGATGAAGTAAACTTCAAAACAGATGTTAGACAAGCACCATGCCTCAACTGTAACATTTTTGAAGTAAATGCTAATTTGTGGATGACTAAGCAGTTATATTCAGAGATAGCAAAGAAAAACCTACCAAAGGGAACAGTAAAAGAAGTTCAAGAGCTCTTCCTTGGATGAATAGCTGTATCAGAAAACTCATGAACCAGCGCTATAAATAACTATTAAAGTTGAACAGAACACAAGATCAACATGATAGAAATGAGCACAAGAAACTGAGAAATAAGGTAAGCAGAGAGCTCAAGACTGCAGAAGCAAATTTAGAAAAAGGAAAAGGAAATTAGAAGAAATCTCACAAGGAAGCTCAGATTTCTGGAAGACAATAAGAACAGTCACAAAACTGAGAAATTAAAACTGAAGAGGATAGGTCCCATAAAAATGAATCCGGGATATTAGTGTTTGATGATAAAAGGAAAGCAGGAACAATGAATGAGTTTATTGCTACTGTATGTAAAAACCTAGCATCAAATCTAATGCCTGTTTATTTACAGAGTCACGCTAACGATAAATCAACTGAAGATAACGAATGGCATGTTAACAGAAAAGATGATTCAACTGAACCCCATGAAAGTCAGTGAACCTGATGAGATAACAATAAAAGAGTTCAAGATTGCTGCACAAGAGCTTAGTTGTAGTATAGCAAATATATGTAGCAAATATAGCAAATATCAGTTGCATTTTTTATGCAGCAGGGTAGCTTCCCCACAATGATTTTTGATGGCATTGAGGGAAGCTTTGATACCCTCATCCTGTGAAATGCTAATCAAGAGTGCGTTGCAAGAAATGAGCGCATGCAGTTCAAGTCGAGGGTTTCCTCACTCCCCAAGCTTAGGCAAATACGTCGGTGATCGGTGAACTTGTGAACACGCTGAGCAAGGACCTAAGCGGGAAAAATTTCCCCTAAAGAAGTGTTTTAGGTTTACGGGAACTAAGGGCCAGTTCCCAGCTTTTCCAATTTTTTCTCCAGGGCAAAATATTTTCTTCAGGGCAAATATGCAGCCATCCCCGTCAATAAAAAGTATGAAGTGAGGCCCCTGAGTAGGTGTACTTTTGTGGATTTTATCAAGGCATTTGATTCTGTAGACCAGGACATACAGGAGAAAAGGATCGTAGCAGGGATAACAGGAGGATTGTACAATTTAATTGATAGCTACTTAGATGGAAGAAAGGCATATGTAGAAAACAATGATGTAACCTCAAAAATGAGTGCAGTAGAGTTTGTTGTCCCACAAGTGTCGTTATTGGGCCCTAGATTATTCGCTATCTACATAAATTATATAGCTGATAGTGTCAACAATGGGGAAGTGCATTTGTATGCAGATGACATCACTGCATACATCATACCAAAATCAGTAGTTGATTGTGCAAACAAGCTGAATCTGCTGGCAAGACAAAAAACAAATTGTGCCAAGAAAATAAGATTACCATTAATAGAAAGAAAGCTGAAGCAATGATAATCAACAGAAAGAGGTTTACGGGGCTCCTATTACCAATATCTATTAGAAATAATATAATTGAATATAAGAGTGTATTTTGACAACAAACTAAACTAGGACACACACATAGATGAGATGTATAAGCAATTCTCACAAAAGTTGTCCATGTTGAAAAAAGTCGAATTCCTGCCAAGAAAAGTGTTGGAGGACATTCATTTTAAAACTGAAATACCAATATACACATATGCAATGACTGTATGGGGCATTGGCACAAGCAGCAAATTCCAGAAAGTTGAGATTCACCATATAAGAGCACCAAATTGATAAAGAACATTCCCAGAACGGTTGATTCAAACAATATTCTAGAGGTGGCTAGCTGGAACAACTTCGGTTATACGAAGGTCATAAAAGGAGAAGGAGAAGATGCATTAAAAGGTCATTTCATAATGTTTCCGTACAAAAACATAGACTACAAGTAAAAAGACTAAGATACGATACGATACGTTACGTACGATACGATACGATACGATACGATACGATACGATACGATACGATACGATACGATACGATACGATACGATACGATACGATACGATACGATACGATACGATACGATACGATACGATACGATACGATACGATACGATACGATACGATACGATACGATACGATACGATACGATACGATATGATATGATATTATATGATATGTTCGTTACTTAACATTACATAATCGTTACTAAATTGTTCCTCGCCTCTTTTTGTAGAGAAATTGCAAAAGCCGGACAACTTTGCCCTCTTGATAATCTCATTGACTTACTTTGTCATGTATATGGTATTTTCATCAATAGAAACGTAAGTTGGATAAATCTTTCCTATCTACAAGAACTATATTTGATTGTACTATTTCAGGTGTGTAATTTTCATAGCTTAAAAAGTTCAAACAACCTTCTGACCTTCTATACACACAAGAGTGTCAGAAAATGAACTTTAGTAAAACGAAATGTTTTATTTCTCAACGCCACTCTTGTCATCAGATTCTGGCTAGACTTTTATTAATACATATATTGGAGCATAGTCATTACTTTTACTTCAATAATTTCAAATCTTTTTATGATCTATATCCTCTTTAGAGCAATATACTATACTTGTTTGAATTAAGTTTATCCATTGCATATATTCAGGCAAGATGTTGATATGCTGTGACTTGCAATGTTCAAAGATATTTTGTTGCTCTCAGAACTTTTCTTAGATTTCATCTAAGGATATGCATAGATAGAAATTTATGATTAGCTGTTTCTGTGTCTAGCATCTGTTTCTTGAAGAATGCTTTTAAGACTCAATGCTAACAATAGGCCTTCGCGAGCGTGGCGACGGTCCAAACAATGGCAGTAATTTTCTACGGACTAACCAAGATTGATTTTAGACAGTCTAAAAATGCATTGTGGGATGCTTACATAGCGCAATGGCTCATTGTTAGCAATGAGTCTTTAAAAACTTCTAGCTAATGCAATCTCCATAGGTTCACTGCTCCACTAATGAAAAGTGAGCTGGCGCTTACGAAGTCAGAAGCTGTTTTCTATGCTGGCCTGTTGCTGTCTTCCGTTGGACCAATTGCACTTTTTTCGCTATCTTTAATAAGATGCACTTCAAACCGGTTAGTTGCTCCTATTCCGTCAATTTTGAAGCTTTTTGTGCTACCCTGGCACTTTTATTGTTTATAAAAAATATTTGCTCAAAAACTTGAGTAAGTGTCAAATGCTTTCGTTGCAAATCAACCCATTCTAACAAACAAAAACCGCAAATTAAGTCGTTGAGGCAAAACGCAATTATTGGGGGTCAAAACAACAGTTCTACAGCTTAAAACACAAACAAATTCAACTAATATAAACAGAAGTTTGCCTTGATTGATGTTACGTAGACGAGTTTGCACAAAATGATAACCAAACATTTACGACCTATTAGACAAAGTGGGTTTTTCGTTTAACCAGAAAATCGCTTATAGGATTCTTTATCTAGATTTTGTATGTTGCAGCCAATAGTTCAATCGATCTTCTGATGGAATACTTTGTAATAACGTCAGTGGACTAAATTTGACTGCTTATTAAGTGCAATATCGATAAAATATTACTGCTATTATACAATATTGATACAACATTTATAGACTACATTAAGGAAAAAAGACATTTAAATACAGATCGGCGCTACAGTGGAACTTACTGCCTGAAGGTGTAAAGAGTATAAAAACTACGAAAATTTCAAAAAGACCCTCTAAAAACATTCTAAAGAAAGAAAATGCAGCAAGCTTCAATAGCTCAACAACAATCAGAAAGAAAGATTTAGATAATTTTATATACTACTAGATATCTTTTTAACTACAGCAAATTCAACATTATTATTTACGTTTTAACAAGTTGTAAATATTATTTGTTCTTAGACTATACACCAAAAAGGCCTATCATCTCTTTTAAATCCATTGCAATAATCTTAAAAATCAGTTCAAACAATGAGTTGTTTTTTTCTTAAGAATTCCTTGGATTTCCTGTCATTTCATCAACAAAAATGTTTCCTTCAAACTGACACCTTTTTTTCTACCTAGGCTTGCCGAGAGAAGCATAATGTTGCTAGGGTGCACAATTTCATTGCTAGGGTTTATCATATTTTTACCCTGGGGAAACACACATCCAACTCTACAAACAACAGGTGAGCTATCTCACGATCTTCTAATCTAATGGTCTATTGTTTGTACGTGGTTATGCAGATTATACAAATGAACTACTGGTTATTCAGGTTTTCATCGTTTATATCTATATTTGATTGTCTTGTCTTGAAAAAACGCTATCTTTTTCAGAACAAACAAAACTTGGGAATGTGATGAAAACAATATGGAAAGCAGGGTGTCCGCCAAAGTTCCAGTGGTGCAAAAATGCCCCTAAAATACACCTCGCGCAATTCGTAGTTGCAGAATTGATAATTATTGTTGGCTTCACGTTGTCATTTCTAATAATAAATGGGTTGTATTCGAAAGTTATTGGCCCAAGAAAGCAGGTATGACTTAACAAATCTTTGTAATACCACCATATTATAAAGCGAACTTAATAAAATAGAATATTGAATAGAGCAAAAAACAAAGATTACATTACATTAAAGTTCTTATCAAATCAGCTTCAGCGATAAATGTCTCCCTGCAATCTTATATTGAACAATTTGCATAAAAACATTGACTTTTTGGTTCTCTAGCCAATGCCGATTTTTCCAAAATTTGAACTTATTGAAAACATTCAATAAAAATCAAACCTTTCATTCACTGTTACAGGTTGGATGCTTTCTCAAAAGGCTTAAAGTGCCTACAAAATGAAATTTCACACACAGTTATTTAGAAGAAAATTTAGTATTTGAATTATATTGTTGCAATATAAAACAAAAATATACTCGAAAAGTTGCAAGAAAAGTTTTTTTTGGGGGGAGGGGTTTGGGGCCTTATATATACATGTGAAACGCAAGATATGGAACAAACAAGGTTCAACCATTCAATAAAGAATATACCGATACCGCCAAGAAACAGCTACATAAAGAAACTTATCGAAAAAAGTGAAATTGTCATCAAGTGTATGAGATGGATAGCCTTCTTCCATGAAAAACCAAACGAAGTCGACCAACAAACCGAGGATCAAAACAAAACGTTCGGATTCAAATCTAAAAAATGTCCCCCACAAAACGAAGACCTAGACGCATTTGAGTCCGATCTACTCAACATGATCAAGCACATCCAATTCATGAAAACACACCACCAATTTCAAGACCAGCTACACGAAGACATCAAAAAGATCAACGCCTCCACGAAAGCCTTCATCCCCGCTGACAAAACAACCAACTACTACAAACTGGATAGTGAACAACATGACAAACTACTAACTAACAGCATAACCACAACCTACAAGACAGCAAATGACAGCGCCATCCACACAATGAACAATGAAGCACGGGACATTGCCACTGAACTCAACATTCAAGACCAAACAGAACGTATGGTAGAACGACAAGCATTCGTAACTCTGATAGACCATAAAGAAAACTTGAAGCAGCAAACTGGAGTTCGATTCCGACCAAGAGTGGTTCGATACAATTGGGCAGCACCCTTATGGAAAGAATTTTCCTCCTGTCAGCATTTGCCTTATGATTATATATATATAGATATATGGAAATTTGTCTTTTGATACTTCCGTAGCACAGTGCTCAATACGTTAGCACGTAGAGCGTGATATATCATAGAGTTGAAGAAAGTAAAACTACATGGTTTATCTCTACAAGCCTGTTTCGTGAGTAACTCACTCTTCAGGAGATCTCCTGTAGAGATAAACCATGTAGTTTTACTTTCTTCAACTCTATGATATATAGATATATATATATATATATTCAATAGCTCCTAACTCTAAAGTTTTTTAAAAATATAAATAGATACTCAATAAAAAACAGCTTGGTTGACGTTTCGCTATAAGCTTCTTCGGAATCAATGTAAATTTGGTAAATTTGGTAAATTCTGAAGAAGCTTATAGCGAAACGTCAACCAAGTTGTTTTTTCATTGAGTATCTATTTATATATATATCTATATATGCATACATATATATGAATTTATATTTAAACATCATTCTACATCTTTAGCAATGATTAATGGTTTTCAAACGCTAATTTTTTCAAAGAGCTTCTACAGTGCAATTATATCTGGCTCTTCATGTGTTTCGGGAATCGTAACACCATTGGTGATGACATGCATCTATGAAACCTACGGACCAAGATACGTCTTCATCACAATAGCCGCTATTGTGGCAGCTTGCATCGTCATTGTTAGCTACTTCTTCAACAGATTAGTGCCTTTTGAAGAATATGCCGAATGTAAACTAGGATTAAACAAAGGCAAAAATGAACTACTTTGATCGTGATTCGTCTTTTACTCTCGTGTCCGTAATAAAATTATTAACCTCATGTATTAAGAACTTGCAAGTTGTATACAACGAAGTACTTCCTAGTAAACAGAATTGCTTCGAGAACAAAAAGAGAAAGTGAAGACATTTTTAAGAACTGAATACTCCTATTTCATAGTTATTTTATATAAACGTTTTGCTATTTTAAGAAACCAGTTCATTGTTTTTATTCATTCTGTTTTCAAGTTTAAAGGGCTGGTAGGAATTAAGCCCATTTAGTATAATTTGGTAAATTTTTCCAAACCCCCCTTATTTAAGACGTTAGGCGCTTTTTTATTGGGATTTTGGAAAAAATCAACCAACTCGAATTTCCTGCTCCCCGTCTATTCTGTATACAGGAGAATGCCATCTGACTTTTCTGAAGGAAAAGAAAATTCATTTAACCACTAAGACAAAAGTCGTGACTCCAATGTATATGTCCCCAAGATAGGGTATGTCCTATACTAGCACTGTCATGGCTCCAAAGCTCCCCAGAAAAGATATGTTCTTAAAAGAATTGAATCGTTAATCGAGCATTTTTAAAAGAAATGCAGTCAAACAATTTTATAAAAAGAAACATTGAGGGTATGGCATACCTGATAATAAGTTTTATTAGGCAATTTAAGAAATAAAAAGATTCAAGTTTTTCAAGTTTTATTCTAAACATGTGTGAACCGGCGGCCTTTCGGTATATAAACAGCGCCAAATGTTGAATCATTGATGAGAAAAAAAAAGAAAAAATTTAAGAAATCGTCATTAGTGACAAAGCTTCGCTGGTTTAGTCACAATATATAGTTCAATTATAATGGATCTTTTTGATTAGCAGCATGTATAACTTTAATATGAAAATGCAGTTTTCTAAATTTAAGGGTATTTTACATATGGTGTTAAATTATGATATAAATGACTTTGTTAACATGAGAGCCATTTCCAAAAAAGCCCTTTTTGTCTTTCAATGTTTGATGCTCAATCTGTCGTTCAAATAAAAAAATATTTCCTTGGAGCTCTTAAAGTATGTGCTTTGAGGAAAATAGTGTTTGCCTTAGAAATCTGCTCGCTTATGCTGCCAAAATAGGCCAGAAACAATAAATTAACCAGATGCCTGTACCGGAGGCTAATCGTTTAGGGAGGGCTTAGTAGAAGTCCTCCTTGGATAATGTTGCTTCAATGAAATAAAATTACACGAGTGGTCCTGAATTCAAAAACAATTTTCCTAATGAATGGGAGTTAGCTGCAACCTCTTTGTCTCCTAGAGAACGCTGCACTTCAACATCTAAGAATTGTTCAAATAAAGCCTGTTGTTGCGCAGCATTTGAGGGGGCAGGAATTGTGAACGTTGAAATTATCATACGAGACATTTCGTTGACTGTTTTTGTTGAATTGCGTTTGGTTATTAGTTCTGTTCTGCGTTTTTGACAAATAGACGTAACTCTTTTTGCTTATGATTCATGCTAACAACCAAGAAAAATACAGTCTACTGAAAACATCGGACAGGTTAAAGAGAATTGTTAAAAAGGTTTTATTGCATCTATTTTTATGGTTTAGCTTCTATTAAAAGTAAGTTTCTCGATTTAAGCCTGCATACAGACTGTTCTTTTTGTTGCGAAAGAGTTTTGTAAAGTTTGCAAAATAGCGTCCACTTTTGAGTTCTGAGATCTTACACAATAACTCTATATCTACTCAACTCAACTCAAAACATTTCATTCACAGCAATAATTAACTACTACATTTATATTTAATACTTGAACCACAAGTAACAAATAATTTTTTACAAAAAAGGAAAATTACATACAGTAGGTAGTTCGAAGTTTAGTATGTTTGCTGTCGGACAAATCAAAAGAAATCACAAGGAAATATCTAGGTCATATGCCCGATTTGACGTGACCGATTTCAAGAGAAGAATGTGAAGGAAAAACAAAAGGAAGGAACATCATGAAAATATAGGGTTAGTATAATAAGAGATGTAAATTGGTTGTACTAAAAACACAATAGTGAGATGCATGGTGGTAATAAATATTTAATGATAATGTTCATAATCGGGTTCGAATAAGTATGTCAGTTTGACTTTAAAAAATAATTTTTCAGGTTTTTGATGAAAGATGACTTTTTCGGTAACTTTTTAATTTGCAATGGCAGGGAATTCCAAATTTTGACTCCTTTATATACAATTGACTTTTGTTTGTAATTTGTCAAGGCCAAAGGGAAAGAGAAGTTGTCATTTAAAGACTGTCTTGTTTCATGCTGATGACGTATATTTCTTTTAATGAAAAGGTTGTTGAATAGGTCATTACTGCTTTCATGATAAATATCAAACATGAATTTATCAACTTCAAGTTTATACATGTTATCAAAGTTGAGAATATTATGTTTTTTGAATAGTGGTTCACTATGAGCTTCGTATTTAACGCTCTGCGAAGGCTAGATTTTAATGGCTCCAGATTAGTTTTATAAGCACTTCCCCAGTTTAGTATGCCACAAAGTATGTGAGATTGGATAAACGATTTGTAGACTGTACATAGTGTGCTTTGAGGTACCAAGTGTCTTGTTTTGTATAGTAAGCCAATGCTCTTTGAGATTTTAATATTTAGTTGCTTAATATGTTGTTTCCAATTTAAGTGTTTGTCAATGATTATGCCAAGATATTTAGTGTAGTCTTTTTGTACTAGCTTTTCGTCATCAATTTGAAAGACAATAGGTTTATCAGGCCTTTTTTGATGCGGATTTATAATCAGAAAATTTGATTTTGATACATTTAAGGAAAGTTTACTGGCCAGTAGCATCGAGATATTTGCTAATTCTGAGTTTACCTTTTTCTCTAAGGTTTGTAGGTTTTTGTGTGAAAAAAGAAGGCTTGTATCATCTGCAAAGAGGTGAAAATCCAGCTTTTGTAAAGAAACGTTGATGTAATTAATGTATAGCAGAAAGAGAAGTGGACCCAAGACACTTCCTTGTGGAACTCCACAATTAATAGAGAGATCTTTTGCCAATTTGCCATCAACTGAGACAGTTTGTTTTCGTTCTGTAAGGTGGGATTTAAACCAAGAATGGGCAATTCCTCTTATTCTATAGTGTTCGAGCTCATCTAGCAGGATACCATGATTAAAGACTGTATCAAAGGCTTTAGAGAAGTCTAGAAATATACAGCATGAAAAACGTTTTCCTTCAATGTTTTCAACTAGCTTTGTGCAGAGATCTAAGATTACCAGTGCTGTTGATTTATTTTTTTGAAATCCAAATTGATGCTTGAAAATTATTATTTGAAAATAAAATTATTGATGCTTGAAAGGCAATGAAATTGTGTACCTCATGAGTTTTACGGGTAAGTCATATGAGTCATTGCTTTTCAATGATATCATTAATGCCAGACCAAACCTTTTTCGAATTTTTTTTGAATTTGTCAAGATAGGAAATGTAATAGATCTTTTTGCTTTTTCTTATCAGATGATTTAGAAGGTCTCTATATCCTTTTTATTTTTGGTAGCATGGGGGATCTTTCGTTTTTAAAAACTTTATTACGAGTATTACCTATTTTTCACTGAGATTGATTAAAGAATACCAGTGTTTATTTCTCATTTTATACATTTTCCTAGAGACTCTCTTTAAAGGGGCGTGTTTATTGATGATATTTAAAAGTGAATCCTGAAAAACATTAAATTTTGCATTCAGATTATTTTCAGCATTTATTAATTTTACAAGTTCCACCTGTCTTGGGTCCGAGATGTATGAGTCAGCATCAAAGTTATTGTAATCACGATAAAAACTTTTCCTACCCTTAGAGAATTTAACATTTAGCTTTTGACAGAATATGAAGTTAGGCATATGATCTGTTATTTTAGAGATCAGATTACCGCTAAACGTCTCAAATTCTAATGAGTTTAGAAAAATATTTTTGATCAGAGTAGGTCTTTGATTACCAGCAATTTTAGACGGCTGAATTATGTGAGGTTGGAAAAAATTTGATATTAAGAGATTTAAGAAGTTGTCTGTATATGCTTCTGTATCATACCGAAGCAGGTCTATATTAGAGTCATCAGTAATACATGCGATTTTGTTTTCCTTTCTGACCTTGCACAATACTGTGTTTGTTAAGTGTTCAATGATTCATCCTCTTGTTTTTTTCTTGGGTGACGATTTATAACGCCTATCACGTAGCTTGACTTTGGTGAGTTAGTAATTTCTATCCAGTTTGCTTCAAATTCACAATCTTTTCCTATAAAAGAGTAGTCTAGGTCCTCCCTGGGTAGAAATATAATACCTTCGGAAACAAAGAAGCCACAGCCACCCTTTAGACTATTGCCAGAAGTAGCATGAACTTTTTGATAGCCATTTAAATGTAGGTTTTTAATTGTACTTTCGTTTTCCTTGGAGATCCAAGTTTCTGAAATGTCAAAGCTATGTCCTAGTGTTGTTTGAAGAATTTCTAAGTTGTTGATATTTTTATTCAACGAGCGAATGTTTGTATGCATCATACTAAAAGGCGTGTTTCTAAATGCTTTTAGCTTTCGTTGTAACTTATGAAATTCATGCGTGGAGTAGTATTGAAAGTTACATTCGAGATTTATGTTTACGTCGATATCATTGTTTGAATTAGGATGAGTAGTGTTTAGTTTAAGTCTGTTGAAGTCAAGTTCTGTAACTGTTTCGGTAAGTTCTAGTCTAGTTAGCTCTTGCGTGATAGTAGCACATGGGCAAGTTTCATCGGAGTTGAACCCTTCAGCAATTATTTCAAAATTATTTAAAGAGTAGAAAGGAAATATTTTTTCACAGCAAGATGAACAGTACCAATTTTCTAAAATCGCTCGGATGTCGTGAAGTTGCCAGTTTGGAAGGCGGCTACACTTTTTGTGTATAAAACTTTGACAATGGCGGCAAGGAAGGATTTTAGACAAATTAGTTACTCGTCGTGAACATACAGAGTGAGTTGTTTTGAACGGTAGTTGTTTGTGGAAATCCACAAGAGGCTCCTTCACTCGCACTTTTGATTCACAAATGAAACCACGAAATTGTTTATTGTCGAGTCCGTGAGAGGGATATGTTTCTTTAGCGCATTGTTTACAAAACAACTGGGAGTTATTGTTTCCAAGTAATAGAAACTGTTTTTTGGACAAACCGCTGCATTTAAAGTGAATCCAAAAATTACATACATATCGAGTCACAGCATATCGAGTTAACAAAAGTGTCCAAAATAATTTTGTCACAGGTTGGACATGAAATGCAACTTGTCGTGCTGTCAGGTTGATTTTTTGCGCGAGATGCCATGATTTGTTTAATTAATTGGCTTGAAATAAAACAAAGAGAAAACAGGTTGGAATAACCTCAAACATCTTTGAGAAAATGTCTTCTTCTTCTTTAATTCGCACAAAATCTATGTCCTTTTCTTTCCTTGCGTAAATGGTCCCGTTTCTTGTCCAAACGTATTTCCAACCTAATTATTTTTTCCAGTCTCGAACTTTCTTCAAAAGGAGTTTGTTTCTTGGTGTCAAAGACTCATTGATGAAGACTTCGACCTTTTTGTCTTTGTTGGATTTAAAACACAGATCTTTTCTTTTGAATGGCGCGTCTCTCTATTTCTTTCTGTTGCTCATAAAGTTTGCTTTCATTTTTCTCGAGGCAAATCTGCAAATTATTGCTGCGTCTTCTCTTGAGCTGATACGATGGCATGCCTTTATGTCTGGTTCGTCTACCGAGATGCCCAATGCCTTGCCAACTTTTAGGACCAGATCCACAGTGTCTTCGTCCTTTTCCTAGGAATTGCTCCGATTTCGATTGTTTCGCGGCGTCCATACTGTTCAAGGCTATTATGGTCTTGACGAAGATATTTTATTTGCCCACTAAGTTCGTCGACTTGTTTTGTGAGGTTAGCGTTGCACTCTTCTAATTCAGTGTTGCGCTTGATGAATGACTCTGTGATGACCTTGTGATTTACAAACTGTTTGTTAATAAAGTCCATCGATTTTTCAAATTTGTCTAACCGTTTCTCTAATTTCTGGAAACTTTCTTTATTTTCAACTTTTATATCATTTATAAAGCTGATAACCATATCAAGCCGATCGTCGGTTGATTTTGCAGTTTCTTTTATAGTATCGGTAACGTCCATGTTCTTGGTTTTCTTTGCTACTTTGCTAGCCATAATGCGTTATGGTATAATTTCCAAAAAAGTCAAATATAATTTCTTCAAAGCTTACCATGCTTCAAAGTAGTGAATGTGAGTGTGTTATTAATTAAATGGATTAGTAATATAGATAAATTTGATTTCAATGAGATCAAATGATCACATTTTTGCGGAGCTCTCAGAACACGTCCGCTCGCCAGAAACATGAGAAGTATATAATCATAATTATCTATGTATATCAACTATATACCAAACCAACTGTAAATAAAGATATCATTATTACCTTTTTTACTATCATTATTATATTTATTATTATTGTTTTTATCTTTATTATGTTTTTTTTATTATGATTTTTATTTTAAATATCTTGGGCGTCACTTCAACTTTATTATGAGCAACCAAGAACATATGTCTAAGCTCAGCTCCCTCTTCACAAAACTCCTAACGTATTTTGATTCTTTTCCTCTCCATCCAAAGAATAAGCTGCTTCTTTATAAGAACTATCTTCTTTCGCGAGTTTTTAGGCACCTCACAGTCACCGACCTATCAAAAAATTTGATCTTCGAGAATCTTTGTAATCAAGTCTCTACATTTATCCGCCGTTGGCTCGATTTACCTATATCTTTTTATTAACAGTATTCATGTCCCTCCTGTAAAAGTTGTTAAGACATTCAAATACCTAGGCTGGAACTTTGATTTTGAAATGTCAAACCGGGAACACAAAGCTGAGCAGAAAATTGTCCCTCATTCTACAAAAACCGGCTGATTCTTTTGATATACACCTTTAGAAAATGATGCTGCTTTATCAACGAATTATCCTTTCCAAACTATCTTGGCACTTTACCTTCACAGACATCTCCCTTTCATCGACCTTCCAAAATTTCGACAATGTTGTCACGCAGTATGTTACAAAGTGGCTTGACCTCCCAATAAATGCCACAATAAGTACAGTTATTCTTCTGAAGAGCAAGTTTGGTCTCAATGTACAAATGCCATCCACGAAATTATGGCTACGTCCCGTCGATTCCAGCCTGTGTGGTTAGATAGGTGTACATCCGAACATGTTCCATAAGCTTTGCAAACCTTCCCAAGAAAAGTTAAGGTGAGGATCGAGAATGGCATTTTAATTTGCTTTCTATTGGCCTTCCTCACGGTCATTGACCATACAATCGCCATGTTTTTTCCCGGCAAAGTGAAAAGGGAACTTAGAATAACAACTTGAACGTATTAAAGCTACCCTAGCAAGTTAAGGCTACACATTTTGCAATTCTTTCCTGCAATGATATTCCAAAAGGATCTCGAGGATCTTCGCTGGTGTTCATTTCCCTCCTGTCTGTTGGTCAACTTGCAAACCAAAGCACAGAATGGAATATTCAAAGAATAAATTGTTGTGCTTAAAATAGCATTATTTATGTTGAATATGCTCTCGTACACAGAGCCTTAATCTTAACTTGGTCTACTGCCCAAAGCAACATGCCTAAAAACATCTTTTGTTTCAGCATCCGCTATCTGAACAACACTTTAGCTACTCAAAAAACCGCTTTATGGGAAAGTTAAATTTAACCAATGACTGCTCATTTCGTTTTCTCCCTGAATCTCCCTGAATCATTGCATGTTGTAGCTGTCTGCAAGGCTAACCTGGATAGAATCAGTGGATCTACTTTCTTCTCGGATCAACCTGGATTCTTTTTACCAGACCTTATCCTCGAAACGTCCAAAAGTATTTTCTATATTGTCAAACCATCAGTTGGGTTTGAGACAAATCTGAACAATAATGCAAATAGAAAAGAGCTAAATGAGCCGAGCTGGCAAAATATTTCCATTTTGTTAAATTTGTTAACCTGTCTATTAGCTGCCTTGGAATATTTGGCCAATCTTCAACCCCATTCCTAGACATATACAATGATCAACAGATGGATTAACAACATCAAAAGAACATATTTTCCAAAATCATGAAGATCCCATCAGAACCACCTATTTCATCTTTTGCTGTAGAAACAAAGCATGGCCTAATCCCGAACTCCCGTCTTTCTGATAATCACACACACGCCCAGACATACCTATGTATCCAAATTTGCTCTTTCTTTTTTCCTCCGACGGATCTCAATGGAGGACATGTTTTGAATAGCTCAGACGTAAGGGCTTTTTTTCCAAATTTATCAAACTTTCATTGTTTATCAATGCACAATATGGTTATTACTAAACCTTAAAATTAGGTATGCTAAAAACCGCATTGCTAAAGAAGCAACAATGCAAAAATTAGCGTGAGGCAATATAACAATTGCTTTTTCTAGTTCATTGTATATAGAACTGTAAGAAGCAGGCATGTGCGGATTTGGAGAACAAATGAGAGTTAAACATACTTAGTAAGTGGTTATTCGGTACCTATCGGCAGATTATGAAAGCCTGGACTCCCTACTACAAGAATCCGTTGAGAAAGCAAACATTAGCTTAAATATCAGATTGTCAGGCTATATGTCCTGTCTAATAGGAACCATTGCAATTCATGCTAAATAATATCGTTCCTATAATTTCATAAAGGGAATCAATTTTTCTTATTTTAAAAATTGTTATCTTTGGAAATTTGTGGTCCTGTCCAGCAGAACAAGCAGGACTTTTGGCTTCGCCACTGGTCACACGTTATTCTTTGAGTCGCCTTTCGCTCTCAAGTATCTAGATTACTCTAGAGTTATAGCACACAGTATAACCTATAATATTTTTCCCCAGCCACTCTCTAAGCCACCAAATTTCTTTTTTGAATTCAAAAAATTTTAAAGCTTGTTAAAATACCTAATTTTGCGTGTCATGATTATAACTGCTTGCTCTCTCGCTGCAAACTTTCTGTCTTTATCAATGCACGAATTGGTTTTCACTGAACCATAAATATTTGTTTGCTAAAAACCGCATTGCTAAAGAAGCAACTATGCAACAAATTAGCTTGAGGCAATATAACAATTGCTTTTTGTAGTTTTTTGTATATAGAACTGTAAGAAGCAGGCATGTGCGGATTTGGGGAGACTGAGCTTCGAAAGAGACTTGAGAGATGGTGAAAATAAACATAGTAAGTGGTTATCGGGTACTTATCGTTTTCGTAATTTTTCACCTTTCAAAGTAACGTTATCGCTGTGCTGATTTTTTTATCGGTTTGATAAACTTTCATTCGTTTTTAGAGTTTCTCTGTTAATCAGGTAATGTTGTTTGTTGATTGTATTGAAGCTAGGCCGTCAGGAATGACTGTTGTTTGATTTTGATAAAGAGGTGTATTTGAAATTGGATCTTCCTTTTAAATTCGATTAAATTCCCAGGAGGAATTGTAAGGGAGGGACGGCAACAAGAATTCTAGGCCTCCCTAAGGAAATTGAGCAAATGATCTAGGCCTCCCTAAGGAAATTGAGCAAATGATCAGTAAATAACAAAATAAAAAGATTTTCTGGAGAACGGCTATCCAGTGGATGTCATTTCAGTTTCTCGGTTGAAGTAAATATTGGTCCGCAAAAGTGCCCTGTTTACTTAAAACTATCCTAGATCTGTAACAGTCCCTTGCGAGTGAAAAACTTTATTCAAAAGGCATGCGTTTCTACCACCTAAAAGACTTCCATTATCTACGAATTTGCGTGCCAAAGTGATTCTGGCCAAAGATTGGGGGAAATAATAGAACAGCGTGTCTCTTCTAGCATTAGAAACATAACCCCACCTCAAAGAGAATGTCCACCTCGGTCTTCCAGATCTAAAACAATGACTAAGAGATGCCTTTCTGCTATCGAGCAGCATTTCCTGGAAAACCCAGATTGTACAAACAACTATAACGGTGATACGTTTTGGATTATTGGTAAAACCCGATCGTTGTTCCGTCTAGAATTTTGGGAATCTATCTACAGAAGCGCAGAAAAAGCTTTTTTGTGGATAGAAGGAGTTCCTCTTCACCTTAGGACTCCATTGGTAACTTCTCAATAGGCAAGCGGCAGTGATTAGATAACCTCAACAGTCACGTGCTTGCGTTACTGATTGGCCCATTCCGTTCCACAACTGAGTAAATATATCTCCTAGCGTAGAGTTCTGGTCTATGTTCTGAAGTTTTGCACTCAGAAAAATGTGAGACGTCAAGCTTCAGTATGTTCTAAATGGTTTGCTTTTTGTCAAAACCAATTTTTAATTTTTATACCATGAAAAGATAATTTCTTCTAAATCTTTTCATCTTTAATGCGATGATCATTTTTAGGGTTGAGAATTTTCAAGTCGATATCCCTTGGATACTCTTTTTCAATAGGATCCAAAAGAGTATCTTATGATAGTGCGGATAAGTCTATATCAATGTGGTCAATGGGTAACGCCAGGGGCAAATCGAGACATTCTCAACATTCTCAATTGAGAATGTCAGATTTTCTCAGTTTTATTATTCTAATTATAGCAAAAAAATTAATTGATTACTTTGATGTTGGCATGACGATAGCTACAAAGCCAATTAATGTCAAAGATTTACAGCAAGGAAAGACTAAATACTTTAATTTACATGTTCTCTATAAATACACTGATAAAAATAATAAATGTCCATGAAAACCCTTAATTATCTATATTTTCGCTCAGCTTATTCTCTCAGCTTATATTTTAAGCTCATTTATCAAGGTCATTCTTTAAGCTTATTATCTTGGCTTACTCTTTATGCTTATTCTCATAGCTCATTCGTTGAGGTTATTCTATTATTTAAGCTCATTCGTCAAGCTTATTCTTGGAGCTTATTCCCTCAGCTAATTCCCTAATGTTTTTCTTTGACCTTATTCGCATAGCCTATTATTCAGCTTATCCTCTTTTTGTGAAACGAGAATTGATGTTGTAATTAGTGACGTACTTTGATTGTTACGGGGCTGTGATTGGAATGAATAAATGTAATGGGCCTAGCATGAAAATCAAAATATTGTTACTACACTCTCAGCCCATTTCCTCAGTCTATTCTGTAAGCTTGATTTTTTGTCTTACTTTCTTGTCTTTTTTCTTAACAAATTTTCCCAACTTTAACTCTTGGCGTTCACACTCAGCTTATTCTCTCAGCTCATTCTTCGAGCTTATTTTTTCAGTCTTTCTCTTTCGTCTAATTCGCTCATGTTATTTTCTCAACTAATTATCCCCACTTTTTCTCTTTGCTTATTCCCTCAACTTTTCTCTAAGCCTAATCTATGGGTCTATTCTCTCAGCACATTCCCTCGTATCTGCTAATTTTCTCAACTTATTTTTCGACTTTTTCTCTCATTGTATTCTCTAAGCTAAATCTATCAGCCTATTCTAGCAGCTTAATCTCTCAACTTGTTCCCTCAGCTGAATTTGTCATCTTGTTTCTTTTACTTTTTCTCTCAATTTATTCTCTTATCTTGCTCTCCCTACAAATGTTCTTACGTTCTTCGCTCAACAAATTGACTCAGCTAATTTTCGCCATTTAAGCCATTTTCAAGTTCTGTGCCAAAAAATTGTTCAAAGACACTTAACAGAAGAATGACAGTCAATTGGTCGGAGAATAGCCCTTAGAAAGCGAGGAGTGGAAGCTGCAGAACCACTTTTGAATTCATGCACGAACTAGCAAAAAAATTCTAAAAAATAATTTCTGTGCATCTACACAAGACTTCTGTGTAAAATCAGCAACACCACCACACCCCTACACATAACGAATAGGCTGCAAAAAATGAAACTATCAATGTTAAACTCGACATCTTGACGCATTGGAAAAATGTTTCAAATGGCATCCAGACCATTCAACATAAAAAGCACAGCTTTATTCTGTTTTTACATATCACGTTTTTTTAGCCGATGATAAACCTGCTATAACTTGCCATTTGCCTGACATTCGGGGAATCTTATAAATATACATAACCAATATTGATAGACTAGAAAATAGGGCCTGAAATCCATCCATACGAATGTTTCCAGGGGCGGCGAAACGTATTTGAAAGTGGAGGGGGGAAATATGAAAGTCTTTAAAGAGTTTATGTTGGGCCGCCACCCTTTTGGCAGCAAAAAAATTGTAGATTTAAGTACTTTAGGGATGGCTAGAGACTGAATCTAAAATGGATTTTGACTGAAGGAAAATCCGAGGCAATATATTTAAGCTTTCTTTAATCATTATGTCTAATAGTTTCGTCTGTTATGATTTTGACTTGGAAAAAGAATAGGTCTTGCAAAGTTTTAGAATAACCTTTAAAATAAAGCTTGTAATGAAACTCTTTTTTAGATCTTAAAAGTACCCAAAATACGATTGAGGAGAAAAAAAGAAACAAGGTTTACCAAAAACAGAAGAACTATCAACTATAAAAAAGCAAATTAAGCAATTTTTATACATGGAATATTGTTTTGTAACATCTGATCTTGAACATTTTGGAAAATAAGGTGCTTTACCAAAAATCTAGATTTTAAACTTTTCAAACTGGGCTTGTCAAAAAAGTTTTAATAGAATCTATGATTGTATCTAGATCTTTATTAGTAGGAATTGATCATCAATACAACCAAAGTATTCTTGATGCTACTTTTATAGAACAAATCTGACCATTCTTTCTTTCTCATGTCCTCAAAAAAAATTTTCATCAGTTTCTTTTCCTTCAACAGTTATTTTTCTCTTTTTGTAATGTTTCTGAGAACTTCACTGTTAACAAATACACCTTGTGAGCCAAGTTTAAGGCAATTGAAAAAAATAAAACTATATCAATTTGCGCTGGCACCAAGTTATTCTATATCAGGTTTCTCAACCTATTTTCTAAGCCAATCTGTTATTCCTTGTACAACTTGGAAAATGACCGATTTCTCGGAGTAAATTCCCATATTATATTTCATATATGTCTTCTATGATAAAGACATAGGAACCAAGCTGAGGCTAGGGGTATATTCAAGGGATTACAAAGCACAGTTACTTGGAGAAAGATATGGTACATTTTATTCCACTATTGCCTAAAAAAAATTCTTTAATTGATTGTATGGAAAGTTGATTTCTTAATGCTTTTTTTTCAATAAATAGAGTAGTGCTATCTTTATTCACAGAATTTTGAAGATACAACGATCAATTAGCTCAGATGGCGGAAAATCTTCTCGATGCTAAGAAGAAAAATTTAGTGAACGAGACAGAAAGGTGAAGCCAAATAGTGATAATCTTTTTCTAAATAAAAAACATATTTTTATAATGTATGTTTATGATTATGCTTAATGGATGAATGCATATAAGTCTATTTGCCATGTTTTTAACTTTAATTCAATGTTTCATTAACATAAGACATAAAACTTAAGACAGAAGACATAAGAGCTTTCATTCCAACCAACAAGAATTACAATTTAAGTTATGATTAATAAAGAATAAAGAAACGAGTACATGAATTGGACTAGGTTTACCATAATCTATGATACCAAATCATTAAATTGATAAAATTGAAAATTTTAAGAAAGGACCAAATGGTTGGGAAGGAATCTTATAGCAGAGCTAATTCATAGACCCCTACCCGGCCGATCGGGCAAATCCAGACATACCAACTGAGGTTACCAGTTCTTAAATGTAACTGCTACAAAGGAAGAAAGAGCTGCTGTCAGAAACGCTGAAGGATAGTTTGGGGACATATGGTTGTTTAATAAGAATCAAAAGCCTTATTGGAAAATATACGCTTAAGGTGTTTTTTATTTGTCATATTTGTAAAGAGAGGATCGTTTTTTAATGCATTAAGTGCTTTAGTGCCAGTATAGCGCAGAGAGCTTAGCCCAGTCGAGCCTGCTTAAATTCATGGGGAGTGTAGTATTTCGAGGTGATCATATCGTCAATAAAATTATCTGTTGAGAATTCGTGACCAGGAATTTTGTCCAATAAGGAGTCGATGGTTACAGATTGGTTAAATTGGAGGCTTTCAAGACACTTTGTGAAAGTGAGATCAAAGTTATAGTCAAGGTCTCTGTCAACAACACTAAAAAAACGGCATTTGTTTACACATGCACTTCCTGCAGATCCATTCTTTGTTTTCCGAGCATAAGCGTGCATAGGCCTCTATTGAGATTTGTGCGCATTTTATATGGGAAGGGAGTTTACAATTACCACATTCAATTTTCCGAACGTGTACACGTCTATTGCAACGACAGCATCTTTCCTTGGCAGCAGTGTTAGGTTTTTTCTCGTTGGTTTATGGCATTTGACACGTCAATTATTTAAACAAAGTTGAATGGTATGCAAATTTTATTAGTAATTAAAGAGTTAAAGAGTTGCAGCGCTCTTTGGAAAATGAATGTGCAAATGATACCACAAATTCCTTAAAAAAACACTATGGTTACACTTTTATGTCAGAAGGTATGGAATATTAGATCTTACGAACCATCCAAGACTGTAGGACAAGACACTTTAATAACCGGACTATTTTCACTTTTCCGCAAACATGGTGTACCATTAATAGTCCACAAGAATCTATAGCCGCTTTTCCTTCCAACTTCAAGGGCCAGGGTGTATAGCCAACGATTGTGCGGTGAAAGGTGCTCGTTAACAAAGATCTTTCTTCCCTTGATCTGCTTCCTTACTGCGAAAACTTCATCACGCTTGCGTCGGTTAACGAAACTTACAATCAACGGTTTCTTCATATCCTTTCGTTTGGTCGGTATCCGGTGGCCAGCCTCGATGTTTCCGGTGTGGATGGTTACTCCCAGGTCTTGAAAAAATTCCTGTAGTTTGGTTTCCTCTTCTTCGCTGTCCCTACATTCTGCGAACCCAGATAGTTCGAGGTTGTTCCTTCTTGAGTATTGCTGTAAATCATGCAGACCGTTCTCCAGGTATATGTTTGCTTCACGTAGTCGTCACCAGTTCTTTCACTGACAGTCTGGTTAATTCACTCTCAGGTAGATCCTGCAATTCGTATAATCTACGGTTCATCCTGTATAGGATTGATTTTCAAAGCAAAACCTAAAGTTTTTCCAGAGATACTGCAACACGTGTTCGTTGCTTAAGCGACCATGTCTAAAAAAATCATTTTAGTATTAAAAAATTAAAATAATTATTTACAATGGTTGTTATAACTAATTGTATCAAGCCCTAAAACAGGAAAACCAGAAAGATCTGATACAAACTTGATTAAATGATTTTTCATCATTACAATGTGTACAACTATGCATACCTTATAATTAAGTGCATTTTTTGCTATGAAAAATCAAAAGCAAAATTTTGCAAACAAAACTTCCGATGTTTTATCTAGACAGAACTTACTTATCTTCATTAAACAATTTTTTCAATCTTCCTGATCAGTTCGTCCAAAAGATGCCAGAATTTTGGAACACATGGCATCGATGACTTGGTGTCGTTGGAAACCTACAAAGCAAAATGGAAGGCAATATACATTATTTATTTGGTTTCCTTTTCCAGTTCAATAGGTAAGAAAACAGAATGATATCTTTATGAAACTAATATTGTGAAAGTAATTTTCGGTAAAAATGACTTGGATGGATATGAATGCGAACAGGGAAATGGATGCAAAGAGGTATGAAGATAAGCCGAAGCTTATGGTTTTCCTATTTCAAAAGTATCACAATTTTAAAAGATTTTCCCTATACACAAATTAGTATTAGATTATAGTTTCTCTATTTTTAATATATAATATTTCTAGAACATTTTCCTTATATACCAAGGAGTATTAGATTATAGTTTTTCTATTTCAAAAGTGTCTTATTTTAGAACTGTTTCCCTATATACAAAACAGAATAAGATGATATTTTCCCTATTTTTAATATATCATATTTCTAGAACTGTTCCCTATATACCAAGGAGTATTAGATTTCAGTTTCTCTATTTCAAAAGTATCATATTTTAGAACTGTTTCCCTATATACAAAACAGAATAAGATCATATTTTCCCTATTTTTAATATATCATATTTCTAGAACTGTTTCCCTATATACCAAGGAGTATTAGATTTTAGTTTCTCTATTTCAAAAGTATCATATTTTAGAACTGTTTCCCTATATACAAAACAGAATAAGATTATAGTTTCCCTTTTTCTAATATTCCATATTTTAAAAAGAGTTTCCCTATATACAAGCAATATCAAATTAGATCTTCAATGGCCTTTTTCGTTTACTTTGTTGAGTTTTGCTCTTTTCAGAGTACACAAGCACAATGCCGTCACTTTGGCCATACCTACAAAAGGTGCGGTTTTCTCGTTTTCTGATACCAGTATTTTGTTATAATTTCTTCACTGCCAAAGAGCCTTGTTATTGTCTTTGCTTAAATTTCTTGTCTTTAGTATCATTACCCATCATTGATCCATTTCATTTGATTTTTTAACTTAATGTAAGTTTCACACTATATCCATTCCGTAAAAATAAAAGTTATGATATACTTACTTAAAGAAAAACTACATTGCAATAAAAATTTGCTAAATTAACTTAGATATTAAAAATTTGAATCCCAAACTTCCATGGATTCGTGTCGAGCTGTCTTCTGTTATCTCAAAAGGTGAAATATCATATGATATGAGAAGTCATGGGCTAGTAGTCATGGATCAGGTTTCTATGGTAATGCACATGTAACTGGCCTTTCATAAGAATTATTCTTTCAGATACACACATTTTTGAAAATAACTGTTTACCAATCTGTCATAAAGTACTCGACGCTTTATAGGTAGTGCTGAACCACAGTTGTCTAATGTTGTAAAC